TGGCCCTGGCTGAGGTGGGGGGCTGAGAGATTGTCCCCAGCTGGGGTCAAGCTCTCAGCCTAGGCTTGGACCGCGGCGGAGCTCTATGCCCTGGCTGGAGCACTGAGCCCATAGCCCCGCCCCCATTCCACTCCCAGTCTGCTTCTTCCCCCCGAGGTCCTGCCCCCACTCGCTCTCCCCCCGCTTCCCCAAGATTGGAAAAGCTGTGTCGCCACTGTGCCCTGGAGCCGCTGAAGGGAGCGAGAGATCCTCCAGCCCTGGGGCCATGGCAGGGGGAGATTTTTCAGGGGGCCCCAAATCTGCCACTGCCCCTCCGTCCCGAGCAGCATGAGGTTTGGGGAGGCTTAGCCTCCCCTGGCCTCCATTACATGTCACCTCTGCTTTTGAGCTTACAGAGAGCTCTTCTTTAGGGTCTGGGAAGATCTAGCCCAGACCTGAAGAAGAGCTCTTTGTGAGCTCAAAAGCTTGTCTCTCACCACCAGAAGTTGGTCCAATAAAAGATATTACCTTACCCACCTTATCTGCTTAAATTAAGGTTTTCTGCTTGCTGATTTTAAATCATTGTTTTGATTTAAATCAATACATCCTGCCCCCACAGCAAACAGTGGCAGAGGAAATAAATACTTCTGGTCCTAAGAAGTCGCACACTTACTTTCTCCAACTGGCACTTGGATCTAGTGGCGGTTTTAAACAAATTTTTTAAAGCATTATGGTCTTGGCTACCCTGAAGTGGCATTAAGTGTAGATGGGTTCATAAAATCCTGTAGAGGCAGATTGTAATCCTATTCTGGGTCAGTCCACTCTCCCCCAACCCCAAGGAGGAAAGCAGAACACCTATTAGACTGCTTTCTTCTAATTGTGAAACTCCAAGAGGTAGCAAGAACTGCCATTCCTCTAGGGCTTTGACTAGTGGATTCTTTAGTGCAGACAACTTATACTACCTGAGCATGCAATCCACAATCATTCTATTTAAACTTATTTGAAATTTTTTATTTGTCAGGGTCCCCCAAAGTGAAAAGAAGAAGAGACAGCCTTGCCCTTTTATGCAGATACAAACATGTCTGGAGTGCCATGGATGGCTCCAGTTATTAGTGTAAATATTCTCATTCCTAATTCTGTAAAATATCTGGGCAGTGCGTTGTGTTAGGCTGTGGAATTCTCCCAGGAAAGGGGAGAAAACTGTGTTGCTTTAGTTAGCACATGGATCACTACTATGCATGGAGAATGTTCCTGCACTGGGAGATACAGAGAGAGACAATAGTTTTTCCAATACTCAGAATCATAGAATATCAGGGTTGGAAGGGAGCTCAGGAGGTCATCTAGTCCAACCCCCTGCTCAAAGCAGGACCAATCCCCAGTTAAATCATCCCAGCCAGGGCTTTGTCAAGCCGGGCCTTAAAAACCTCTAAGGAAGGAGATTCCACCACCACCTTAGGTAACCCATTCTAGTGCTTCATCACACTCCTAGTGAAAAAGTTTTTCCTGATATCCAACCTAAACCTCCCACACGCCTATATGTTTCTGTGGAAAAACTGTATAAATGGTTAAAGGCTAATCTCTCAGCATGAGGGTCAACTCCAAAAATTGATCAGAATCTTTTGGACTATTTATATTAGTGCATGGTAGTGTCAAATACAAAGTATATAGTATATAGTTTCAATATTCAAGAGAACATTGTACAGATATTTTTTAGAACTCTTGAAAGTTACATGGATTTAAAACCCAGTGAAATCACTCAGTGAAAGCTCAAAAACTTGAATCATTTTCAGCTCCAGAGATTTCATTTTTGAAACTATTTAGTTATTTTGTTAGCTGTGGAGCCTTTTTGGTTATATAGGAATTTAAATCCTTTCTTGTAAACTGTTGGTTTTTTTAATTATAAATTTGAGTTAGAATTCTACCTCTCAAATGTTTTAATCAGCAGTTGAAATTCTAATGAAAGCATTGAGTATTTTTAATGCCTATTTAAGCAGTAATGTTGGCATATTTCTGTGGAGCAGCTGGCTCCAGAGGATATATCCAGCAGTAGAGAACATGGAAATGAACACCAGGATATTGACAAGCAAGCTCGGAGGATGAAATCTTTTCAGCTTTAAAATGTAATCACAAAATCAGCAACATTTTAAATGTGTTCCTTCATTTTCCCCACTCTCCAACCTCCTGACCTCTGATCTGTGCAAATAAATGTTGTTCTTATCAGATGCAGCCACTTGGGCAAAAGGGAAGGCGGTGGTTTACCAAAAGGATGGCTTTGCAGTCCTCCTCCCCTCCTTGACATCTACATAATGAATACATTGTTGAACTATCACCAACTTTCTGGGGGATTGTAGAACATTAAACCCATTTTTTTAAAGGCTGTCAACCTCCTTTTGATGCACACACTTTTTGAGGTGTACAGCTAAAGATTTTTTTTAATATAATAAATCTAAGTCACTGAAGCAAGTAGCAACTGTGATGAATTGCTATTTGAATTATACCAGACAATAAATATTTGGGCTGAAAGTGAATGTTTTAAAATATTATTTTTCATCTGTGAAACCAGTTTTGATATTGTGGGAGAAGATCATCACAAACTACTCTTCAAAACTAGAATCAAACTTAAAAAGCAACAAACAAAAAAATCCACCAGTACTATTTGTTTTCATTATTGAATTATTTTGTATAAGTAAGCCAATACAATATAAGGTGTGGGTTATGCAGCTTCAGCAGGGCTGCATGCAGAGATCCAAACACATGCAACAGATTGCAGGATTGGGGCCTAAGTCCAGTAGGAGACACATTGCTGATAGAGTCCCAGGGGTGTACAGACCCAGAAGAAAAATGTCCCATCAGTTCTGCATGATATATTTAAAACAGCCAAAAATGATGAAAGGGTCCATAAAAGATGTGAGTAGAGCTCACAATATTAATACATTAGCAGAGCCCTTTAAATCAGTGTAGCTGTCTTCCTTCTTCTTGGATATGAACAGTAACTTTGCAACAATACCAATCTCTGCCTGCCTGAATAGCAGCCATTCAGATTCACGTATGAAACACTAATCTATTGTAGAGTAGCATATGGCAGTATGGGTTTGGGTCATTGAGAGAATCCATTCAAAGAAATATTTGTGGGTTAATTGTAATTTTATCATTTTAATGGAAATAAATACCTGACAGTTTCCATTATCTTTACACACTAAAAAGGCTTAAACTGTGCATTGTCTGATTTTATAACAGTGAAGGGAGAGGCAAGGTTCCTTACATTCGAGATGGGGATAGTACCACTCTGTCCTTGCCTGATTCTTGGAGCAGAGCAGAAGAATTAATTGAAAAGAGGCGAGTGATGGAGAAAGGAGGGAATTCAAAGGAGAGTAAAGTTGAAATTCATTTGCCAGAATGAGTGTAGAAAGAAGGCCACGAATGTATTTACTTGGGAGTATTCCTGGAGATAATCAATACTCATCCTGCAGCAGCCTGGCTCCTGATTTGCCTGAGGCTCCAAACACATTCCCTGTCAGTGATGGTAGATAGTGGAAAAATGTCTCTCTGAGTGACAAGGACAGATTTGGCACTTCCAGTGCACTTTAAGCCATGTAGATAATGTATTGTATGTCTCCCCTGTTAGCTGTAACTCCTCACTAGCTTCTCTCCTGTGGTCCTTTGTAGAGGAGGAAGACATTATTCTGTGTTGCACAGACCTCTGCTGCCCTTCAGTGCATCGTCATAGTTTTCAGTAAAACTATTATTAACAAAACAATATTACTCTTACAACCAATGTTAATTAGATGATTTTATGTTCTCACTAACCATTTGGAAACTGGGGCACATTTATTTATATAAGCATCCTCTGAAATGTTCAGTAGGCTGGGAGTCTGGGAAGTCTGTTGTCGTTTTTTTTTTTTTGAGGGTTAATAGTAATTCAGCTCAGATTTGTGTGGTGTTAGAATTCAATTAACTTGTACCAGACTGTTTTCACATTCTCAAAAAATGAAGGCTTCTAAGAACAGTGGTTTGTTTATTAGCTGACCAGAGAGAAAGGGGAAATAGCGGATCCATGTCACTTGGTCTGTCATTGAAAACCATAATGAAATCGGAACAGCCAGCTATCAAGACTGCTAATTTTTCTTTGATTTGTTATTTATACTGTATTCCAAGAGAAATTGCTCTCTGGCAGAGGTGGGGGAAACCGCTATCATGAAGCTTGTCTCAGCTAAAATTACAGCTGTCTTAACTGTTTACTATCCCTGTAGTATAATCATTGGGAATCATACCTGCCTTTGTCTGCTTTGAATACAGGTGGTGCTTCCAACATTTATTTTGGAGAAAAGATCTCTGCTGGAGATGTATGCAAATTTCATGGCCCATCCAGACCTGTTTTTGTCAATTGCAGCTGGAGCCACTCCTGAGGAAAGAATTATTTGCTTTGTGGAGTATTATCTAACAGCCTTTCATGAAGGCCGAAAGGGAGCAGTTGCCAAGAAACCTTATAACCCAATCATTGGTGAATCATTTCATTGCTCATGGGATGTGCCTAAAGACAAAGTGAAATCATTCAGAACTAACAGTGCCTCTGTAGTTTCTAAGGACCAAACCAAGGAATTTGGCCAGGACCAATCAGAGTGCTACAAGCTGAGGTTTGTAGCTGAACAAGTATCCCATCACCCACCAGTATCATGCTTTTACTGTGAATGCAAGGAGAAGAGAATGTGTGTGAACGCCCATGTATGGACCAAAAGCAAGTTCATGGGAATGTCAATAGGTGTTTCTATGGTAGGTGAAGGTAAGAACTATGCTTTGCTTTATTTTTTGGGAGGGTGTTAGTGTTAACACCCCACAGAAAATCATAGATGAAGGTTTTTTGTTTTGTTTTTGTTTAAAAAAAAAAACCTTCATCTTAATCTTGCTATTTGTTGCTTCCATTAATTTTAGAATTAAAATAATGGAACTTGTGTTTGAGACTATTGTCCAGTTTTTATTCATTTTTAGTATACATATATCTTGTATAATATGTGTGCCTTTATTTTTATGAGACTTATTAAAATCTGCAGTTTAGAAATTTAGTCACATTGTACTTGCTAAAATATGACAGCTTTACTTATTACAGTACCTTACAGTAACAATTGTATCACAGCTAAACAAATAATCCTCTTTAGAGTTAGTATTTAATTCAGTATGAGAAACTACTGTAAACTGTTTTCAGAAGAACATAGAATAATTGTATATTTTCAGTTAAACCTTTTAATCTGCTTTTACCTGGGTTCTGCTAGATG